AGTAGCCAATTTGTACAAGACTCCCAAAATATCCCAGCAATCTGCCCATGGTATTCTTCCCTAGAAAACCACCTGGTATGCTGGGAAAAACTGCCCATGTCATGGTCATGTCACTCCCCATGTCAGGCAGCCTGCAATTTGGATTGCTGCGCTGCCTGCGTCGTGCCGTGACTGCAGTCTGTGTCTAGACATGTCCTGGCTGCGTCATGGGTGTTGCCTGCAATCTGCCTGCGACGTCTGGGGCGTTGCCTACAATCTGCCTGTGACGTCCTGGACGCTGCCTGCAATCTGCCTGTGACGTCCTGGACGCTGCCTGCAATCTGCCTGCGACGTCCTGGGCGTTGCGGACGTCTTGGACGCTGGCACCATTTTGTATAAATATTTCAATTGCTTAATTAGAAAAATCTAAATTAATCAACTTTTGATCTGGTGAGATGTCAGCAGCACCATCTGAATGCTCAAAATCATGTTGTGTAAGCCAAAATGAACTAAGTATTTTCCCGACTGTAATAAAGACAGGTAAACATGCAAATTTTTGGAACTTTTAATTTTAGGGAAAAAGATAGGAACAGATTTTATCACTAAAGCCACAGTTGTATAGAGTTCTAACCAAAAGAAAATGCTGAAAGGGAAAGAAAAGCTCACAAACCAGTATAGTTAAGTTACAACATCTGAATATTGGCTTAAATATCCTACAGAGATATTCTTTTATGTGCCACCATCTGTACATCTTACAATTTATACTCAGGTCAAAATTAACAATAAAATCTAGGCTGTCAAACAGCAGAATAGAAGGGTCTTGTTATACATTGTACAAAAGTGTAACTTGTGCAAGAATAAGTAATGAAGTTTAAATCATCATGTCCAAGAACTAGGATAAAATTATTTTGTTGTTCCCGATGAGTGTTCGAGAAGATTCGACATAAAACAAGATAGATTTGAGGAGAAATTATGACGAACCGTGCCATCTAGTGAAGCAGATACCAAACGGGTAGTCATCCACTGGGACATTGACAAGTCAGTCACCTCTCCATCATGGCTACCAACTAGCTGAATCCCATGAATTAACTTGTCAATGGGACATTTGAGGGGTTTTTCTGCTGAAAACACTTCCCCTTTTCCAACTTTTGTCGTATCAATCTTCAAAACATGCCTGCCAATTCCCACCACAAGAACTTCCTGTGTAAGAAAGCATACGAGATTATTCATCCAATAAATTGATGGATAACCTGCCAAAAGAGGGAAGAAAGAACAGAGGTACACTAAAAAGAGAGGATATGGGAAGCTGGTATACTTGTTTATGACAATGCCAACAAACTCTTGGATGAACAGATTCCCATTCTCCAGTAATTTGAATGGCAATAACAATATTTCCAGTGATTTGAGGCTTGTCTTCTTCATCTGGATCTTCGGTAATTTTCCACACATAAACCCGGCCATCAACGCTTGCACTATAACACACATGGTAATTAGACAAACCAAAAGAGGGAAGTCAAAAAAGTAACTAACAAGGAGGCTACCTAGCCAAAAGGTGGACATCCTGGGCAAAGAAAGCCATGTCTGTGACCCTCTGAAAGAAAACATGTTACTTCAGTAAATCAAAGTTAATTATGAATGCCAATTTATATATCAGCTAAAAGAAGACATGTTCTACAAAATCACCACTTTAAGCACAAGCACATTGTAAATCTCCGTGTTTTCACCGCATATCAATACGACAATATATCACAGAAAATAATATTCACCGGAGTGACCGGACTCAGAAAGGAACGAATTTATACTAATAAAATTTGTGCAGAACATCATATTGAGAACTATCGGAGCTTGTGATAATAAAACTTCATGTATCAAGACATTATATTTACGAGTTGCTATCAAATGGCTGGAACTAGCACTACTTGCCGTATTCAGACTCTGGAATAGGTGGCCTGCTTCTCAACCCAAGGTAATGGGAAAACTATGTGTTGTATCATCCCTTTAGTTGCCCGTAAATAACATAATGCACCAAGTAGAAAACAATAAATTACCCAAGGCCAGTTTGACCACAAGGTTGAGCAATGGGATCCAAAAAATTCAAAGTAAATCAAGCATATAATGATTTAAATAATATATTTAATTACTCATTTCAACTTAATGATAAAAAGGACATAAAACCACACTTTTTAAGGCAAAACCAACCTGAGATAGACCTTTAAGCAATGATCTCAAAGCAGTATTAATATTAAGCACACGGATAGCGCCCAACTTAAGCCCATAACATATATAACTCTTGTTGACAGCGATCTGCCTGCCCACAACGAGACCTGGATCAGACCCATACTTCGTAATGGGAGTTACCTCAAGTTGAGGCTGCACCTCACCGGGCAACCTCACATCTATATCGTAAACAATATGATCCCCGATCAAATGCCGCCCCTTAGGGAGCTTGCTGCTTGGCATCCGCATCATGGCACCCTGGTGCGGAATCCCAAGGTTAGGTGCATTCTGGGGGATCGAGAAATCAGAGCCTGCAGAGGAAGTTGGATGTATTTGGGGCATTGGCATGACGGGCTGCTGCGGGACATCGAGGGTGGAAGGCGGAGCACTCAATAAGGCCATCAGTCTCGGCCCGTGATTGTTGGAGTTTTGTGAATTTGGGGGGTTTTGGAAATTCTGTTGGTGGGGACTAGTAGGAGGTTGAACTTGGGGTTGGAGGGTGGGCGTGGGATAAGACAGAGACCTCTGGGGGTGCATATTAGCAAAGTCCGGGTGTGGTGGTGTAGGATTAGGAGTACTATACATAGGGAGGTGACTGAAATATTGGAAGGGGGAATTCTGAGGTGAGTATGAGTATGTCCCAGCGCCAGAAACGCCGCCAGTAGGCGGAGGATAAGAGGCTAAAGGAAGTGGGAAAGGAGAAGAAATCAAATTAGGGTTAATGGTGCTAGTATTAATATTATTATTATTATTATGTGGGTTTTGGGGATTAGGGTTTGCAGTAGTAGTCGAATTGGGTGGCGAGGGAGTAGAAGGTTTGAATAACTTGAGCATATCAAACGGACCTCCACCTGGTGGGTTCTGATTGCCGGCTGAAGCCATCAATTACAATAAATAAAATTCAAACTTTATAATTTACAGTCTTCTTATTCAAAAATGGATTCTGCAATTGTATAGTATAGATATAGTTCTGTATGTATATTTTGATTGAGAAGTGTATATAGGGGCGGGAGGTAAGTGAGATTCAATGGCGAAATTGGGACCAGAGCCCAGATTTGGGGGTGAGTGGGGGTGGGGTGGGGTGGGGGAGTCGATATGTGAGAACAGGACCTTTGGGAGACCAAAATGGAGAAGAAGATGGCATATAAATTATTATTTTTGGGGAAAAAGTAGAGTTTGATTTGATGATAAATTTTGTCCATTATAATCAATTGTAAATATGAAAAGCATCCTTCAATTTCAAGAAAATGCTTGGTCCTATTTTAAACTCATTTTCTGTAGTCACAATTTTATCGATTTTCAGTTATATACTTCGTCACAAAATTTACTAACACTCTGATTTGTAACAAACGAGACGAGACATACTGTAAGTTTGGTACATAATATTTTTCTTTTTAAATGGAATTCGATACGTGCATAAACATTTAACTTTTTTTCATTTTAAATATTATTAAAAATCTCGAATCATCTGACTAAACATACTTTTTAAAGTATTTTTAATTAAGTTTTAAGGTACACTAACCATAACCGAAGTAAATAATATAATAAATAGAGTTTCAAATGCAATAATATATGCTACAAAAGTCTTGTTCAAATTGGATGAAAAATATTAAATTAAATAATAAGTGGTAGGAATCCTGATGATAAAGATTAAAAAAATCTTGTGTCAATGAAGATGATGCAAGGCCCATCCATATTCTCATGCCTTTAATTAGGGTCAACTGTTTTTATATTTTAAATCATTTATTGAAAAATAATAACAATAATTTCGGGAGTGTGGTTGGATCCGTGTAGTATCAAAGAAATTGCTCAAAATCTAGGCATCTTCTAGCAAAAGGTTCATGCATTTATCATTTCATATGGTGCCATCCCTGTTCTTTAATTTTGACATGACTGTACAATTTATGACCCATTTAATGATGTTGCTTTACAAATAGGAAAGTGCTACTTGTACATAAATATATACATAATGATCTCCATAATTACACGTGGCACTAGATCCAACTATTAATTCAAATCTCACACTTTCACATCAATAACAGANTATGTACATGTAGACTTTTCCTTACAAATATATGTTTGGATGTATGGGGTCAAGACGGCTTGTATTTTTTTTTTGTTGACGTAGGAATTAGCAGCCGCTACCTGCCAACGGAGCCCCGACCACCGTGATTACACACTAGGTAAATTTCGCTCCATGTGCAGTAGCCCTCAAACCACATAGAAGAGGTAAACCGCACTAGACAAGTCCGGTGCGACGGGCTCAACCGAGAAAGTGTTGACAGGAGATTCGAACTCATGACCTTTAATCTCCACGTTCACCTGCTCCACCCACTCGACCACTCCCGAAAGGGTGGAACAACACGGCCTGTGTTGAAGGGATTTAACAGGGTCTAAAGTTTATCAAACACTTGACTAATTTTTACTATAACTTGGTTAAAATTGATTATCTCAAGAGCACACGATATGAAATCAAGCCTAGATATATTATTTGAATAACGCAAAGCTAGTAGCCATATTGGATTGCGTGGGTCGTGGCGTTTGGTGACGCTTAAATTTAATAGTTAAGTTTGATTCGAAGTCCTCAGCTTTCTATTTTTGATGAAAGCCTTCGCGGTCGAACAAAACTCAATGAGAGAAATAATTAATACTAAAATAGTTAAAAATATAGTTTGTTTGGGAAAGGAATTAAAATATGCAACCAATTTTGATAAAAGAAAACGTAAGGCCAAAAAAAAAAGAAACAGAAACAGAAACAGAAAGTATAATGATTTAAAGATGGATACTCTTTACTGCGTGAACACAAGCTTAAATAAAAGATATAAAAGTATGGTACACAAATTCAATGCATCAGAATCTAATACTGTATGATGAAATGAAATAAACTAACAAAACTAGCTAATGCCTTGTGATCTATACATCTATTTCTGGAAGAAATTACTACACAATGAAAATGTCAAAATGCTATTTTCAAAAGAAAAGGGAAAAAAAGGGAAAATTTTCTAAAAGATTAAGTCGGAACAATCCCGGGATAATTTGGTGGTGACTGGAAAATAAAGACTCCCAGTACAATCACTAACAGTAGTAACTGTATGAAAAAACATGATGTGTACTTACATACCCTTTTCTGCATCTTCAGTGTTTCGTCAGCGCTTGGAATGTCTTCAGAATCCACTGCAGCATTTTTAACGTCTTCAGTATCTTCAAGCTCGTTCAGCATCCGGCTTTGCTGCAAAGCTCTAGTATTTTGATCTTCCACAAGGGTGATATGATCCACTGCAGCAACTCTCAAAATCTGAGAATTTCTTGATATTACCAGATATTCAACTTCAGCTTCAATCCTTTGCTTAAAGAGATCCTCGAGTTCAATATCCAAGTCCATGTTTGCTTTTTCTTTTACCCCCGAGTAGAACGAACGGAAAGAACTATGCACATGCTTGCGAGAGTATACCTGCTCAGATGAGCTTGTTTCATACAACTTTGGATCAACTGAAGCGAACTCTGAAGGTAAATCTTGAATCACATCATCCACCGAAACATCTGCTCTTCCAATTTCCCTGAACTTTTGAACCTCTGTGGAGACATATCGACCCATTTAGTAATAAAAATCTCAAGCACGAAAAAGGAATACAAAAAGGTCAAGGAAGATTGCTAATCCGTGTTGCATTAAAAGAATACAATAACATCTTTGGTCTCCCAGCAGATAAACAGATTAAGTAGGTACAATCAAACAAAGATACAGATACTAAGTGACAAAAACGAAATAACCAAAAAGGTTCAAGACACCAGGTGCAAGGATGGTGATGGGGGTGTATCTTCAACGAATCCATTCATAGAAACGATAATAAAATCACCAATGATATATGGAGGCATTGGCACTATGGACAATTGTTGTTCCATTTTTTTGCCCTAGCACTGTGTGATGGAGATAAGGATAGGGAACTTTGATCCTGAGAAGAATATGATTGAAGATAAGTATGATTTAAATTAGATTTCAATGGTTATATTTGACAGGATTTTATCATTTTATCATTTTAATAATTGCTATTCACAAGGAGTTCTTGAGTTTATAAAAAGGGTGTAGAATTTTATAGTACTCAAGACTATTATTGATGGATTAAATATTAATATCTTATCCCCCTTCTTATCCTTCCCTCTATCTTCTCTTCTTCTTCCCTGTTTCTCTATATCACTATGGTTACCATTTTGAGAAAAATTTAGTCTCAATATGTACAGCGACAATAAAAAATCCAGTAAACAGTGTTATCGTGTGTTTAAAAAGCCAATATTTTCTAAAGTTTACAAACAAAAGCAAGAAATTTAAAGCTGCACAATACGCAATATTTGACAATATGAGATGTATGCAGCATTAACAGCACAGACACAAGGCATGTCAATATTACAATGTAGGAACCGCTCCAAGTTTCACCTCTTCAATTTCACCAATATAAAGGTATATATTACTTCCAGAAATCATTTGGCTGAAACTTCGTCACACATATTCAAGTAAGTCAAATGTTATAATAGCAATAAAGTAGTATAACATACAAACAATAGATTTTGCAATACACAAGAAAATTAAGATGAAAAGGTGATTTTTTTTTTTTTCATGGACCAATAATAACTTTAAGAAATGCATTTTTAACAGCAATAAAGTGGTATAACGTACAAACGATAGATTTTGCAATACACAAGAAAAGTAAGAGGAAAAAGTGAATTTTTTTTTTTCACTAACCAATACTAACTTTAAGAAATGCATTTTTAACGAACAATTTCATACACTCTTCGACTGCTAGGTAGAATTTCAAGCAACCTATATTCCCAGTAGGACGATCCTATATTCAAAGCAAACATACAGTATTGAACACACAAAACACTAACTGGCATGACAAAGATCATAAACTCCATTTATCTATTTAATTGAAGTTTTTCAAACCTGTAAGTACTGTTTTGAATGATTTGTTCCAACATACTGGCAAAGCTACAGAGATTTGCATAATCCTTAGCACCATTTCTTTTTATTCTTGGAGTAATCTTAAAATAAATATTTAAAGCTATCTCCAAATCTGAAGAAATGTTAAGTCTACTTTTAGGAAGTAAAAGATTCAGGCATCCATGCAAGGTCAGACGTTTACAAGCTAATGATAGCAAACCATAGTTTTTAATTTTACATCAGAAGAAAAGGATAAAAGTAGTATTCATACACGATCATATACTAGAAATGCACTAGAACAAATATCCTATATCCCTTTTAATTAATTCATCAATTTTTAACCTTAAACTGATGCTTTGCAAATAAATCAGTACAGCTATGGGGAATAATTTGATCGTATAAGGGTCAACAAGAGAGTTTATCCTACTATATTTAGTGTTTAAATATACTTTATCTAGGAGATGAACCTCACAATTTCCCCAAAAAGGTCCTCGTAATCCCTCGCTCTTGGTTTAGATTTTGTGACAATAACTTAAAGCCATCTCCATATTATGCAAATTGCATTTCTTGAGAAAGATTCAACATGCCAGATTATCGTTCTTACTATCTTAATATTGCAACCATAGAGTTTAAGATATATAAGAAATATTTAAGTAAACAAGATAACTATCAAATGAGGCAAATGGAGAAGGTGCGATCACCTTTTTCAAATGCTTCTTGTGCTGATTGAAGTGCAAAGATGGATTCAACTAGAGGATTACAATATGTTGAGTTCACGTGGTTCCCACTTCTTTCTTCTTTAGCCTCCCAAGATGAGTTTGCAACTAAATCTTCACGAGAGACATCTTCAAAACCTTCGCCACTGTTCCTATCATAACCACCTCGAAGCCCATCGCTGACTTCCCTTTCACCGGCCTGAACTTCATCACCATTTTCTTCATCGCAATTCATTGATTTTCCACTTGGAATCCCGTTACTTGTTGCAGAGTCATTTCCCTGCATAAGGACAAAGTTGGAGCTTCGAGAGTCAGATTCCATGCTGGAATGAGAATTTTCCTTCTCGATTTTGACACATTCTCCTTCAGCCTTCTTACTGGTCTCAATGCGTCCCCATCCCTGCTGACCACGCACCAAGATGCCCAAATTCTTCCCACTCAGACTCCTCATCCTGCTCTTATCGCGCGGAAATCCTGCAACAACTGGCATCTCATATCTCGCCCTTGTAACACTGGCTGCCGTGGAAAACTTGCTACTCCGATCCTCGCTATTCTCTGAATTGGTACCAGCAGCAAAGGTTGGTCCAATGGACAACCTATAATCACCAAGCATAGCAAAACCATCAAGATTCCTCGCATTTGTTGATGAGACAGACCCTTCCCCTCTTTGGTTCCTGTCTTCAAAAACTTGCATCCGTTTGCTCGAATTTGCACCTGAAGTTGACAAATCCCGTGTCACAGTATCAACACTACTGTTTCCAACCTTATTGGGGTCCCTCTTGATCCTTTTCCATTTCTTCAACCTATTTCCTTTCTTCGTTGTTGCCGGGGAAGGCGACACTTCAGGTTTCACATCTGCGTCTGCCAAATTCACCAACCCTCTAACTTCAGTTCCCATTCCAGTCCCCTCGGAAGATAACTCATTAGGGTATATATTTTCCACCACACATCCGTTGTTTTGCACCTTGGTTTCATCACCACTACCCAATTTGTCTGAGCCCGAAATGGTGCTAATTATCTCATCATCTACACCAAATTCAAGTCCCGGTACCTCCCTTTCCAAATCCATTTACCTTGTATTCCTTTTTCTTATTATACAAAATATAATTTTGAATCCCCAATAAATAGTTCAGATCGAGATCGAGGATAAGCAAGCGCCATTCCAGTTCACCAGTGAATCAAATCTACCAAAAACTGTCGGATAAAAATTAATTATTTCCTATGCAAAATCGAATTTCACTTAACTTCTGCTGGAAATCAATTAAAATAAATTCCAGATAAAAACGGAAAGTAATTGATTAGCGGAAAGCCCCTGGAAATTAAAAATTCAAAACTTCACGGGAATTCAATCAAGTCTAGGTAGATATTAATTATTTCCTTCCTATGGGAAAAATCAATTACTTTCCATGGAAATCGAATATCTCTTAAATTCCTGTGGAAGTCAATTCAATAAAACTTCTTAAGATCCAAATACAAATGGAAAGTAATTAACAAAGCGGAAAGCCCTTGCAATGAAAATTTCAAAATTTTAGAGTTAGAAATTAAAACAAACAGGCATACTGCATACCTTGGGAGCGTTGAAATTTTAGAAGGAATCCAAGTTGCAAGATGGATTTCGAGATGTATCGAAATTTTCTGATATCTGTACTTTGATAGTGAAAATAGTGATAGGAAATAAATATAAAAATAGCTGGGTAGAAAATTGATGATGATAGGCATGGAAGGAAATGGAGACGGGCCCACATTGTGGGACGGTGGTGGGCCCGTTGACAGCAAGTTATAGTTCACAAGTAAAGAAATGCATCATGTGTTACTCTTCCAAAAAGCCCGTAACGAATGGAAAGGCCCTTAATTTTCCGTACTCTAATCCATTCACTGTTAAATCTGCCAAACTATAGAAAGCAAGGTGAAATTGCTACGGGCTTTTTCATTTGTATCGAAAATGAATGATAACGAATTTGACAATCTCTCACATGCGATGGACTCCGCGTGATTAAAAAATTCAACCAAAAAAAAAAGTGGGACACCCTATTGTGAGTGTCGATCAATTTGTATGTCAATCATATTCGGTACGAATAGCATGGCTAGATCATTTATAACTAATGCACCCTATCTTGTTGCTTCCTGTCCCACTTTTCACAAAAAAAAATGGAGAGATGAATTGATACATTTGCTGAGAAATAGAAAGGGTTAATAATTAGAACAAATTAGATTCTTGAATCTAATGCAATTCTATGTGAGTTCATGGGAAATCGAAAGATTTATATTTCTCCAGTATTCAAATAACACATAAGTGACATTATTTCGTTGGATCAACAAAATTATCTTTACAAACCTTCTAAAAAATATTGTGCATCTTCAATTGTGAATTGGGGAGTTGCTAGCATTGTGACTGTATCAGACATCTGTGACATTCATATAGAAGCTCTCTGGTGACCAGTACAGTCACAAAGTAAATAATTTTATAGAAATATGCCATATTCCCTCTATAATTAGAGAGATGTGCAGCATGTGCTAGTGACAATGGGGAAGTGTCGCCAACATCTCCCATCTTTCTACAAATTTAGAAAAACATATTCTCAAACATTCTCACCTCGTAGTTTTTTTTAAGTAAATCATCGATGAAAAAATAGTAGCATATACGCAAATACATTCAAATAGAAGATATACTAACTAAGAGAAGGAAAGAAAACGGTTATCAAGCTCAATACAAACGAGTGTATTAAAACTAGTCAAATTTGGAACTACATAGGAGCATGTCTGACATCAATTTTAAGCAGAATTCCAGCCGTAAAACTACCAAAAAAAGCAATAATCTGACCATTTCAGCCGTCATTTTTTACCATTTCACTCACCGGTGGAACCTAGCTTCCTTGCAAATGGTCAAATAATCAATTATGAAAATCAATGTCAGACATACAGCTAGTATTTACATTACAAATTACTGTTGTGTATAGATGTCATATTCCCTCTATCTCTGGATTTACAAAATACTCATCTACAACCTCGTACTCTTCTTTTTCATTGCATCTTCTTCATTGTGCACGGCATAAATCAAGTTCACGATCAAAGTTGACTGTTAAGAATTTTCCATGGAAAAATGGAAGAATTTCTTCCACTCCCAAAATCAAATCTCTGGCCAAAGGGTTAACATGACAACAGATAATTTCTCAAAAGAAGACTATCAGAACACCTTTTCGTGAGGATTCGGCAACAAATACCAATATCCAATTGGGCATTCACTTGACTTCTCTCATTATACAAAAGAGAGTAAATTTTATTGGGGCAAAATTACAAACAAGACTCTAGTTGTCCAAGCATACATGATCAATGCAATGATAGAGAGCAAATATAGAAGAGAATTTACTAGAAAATTAAGATGGTCACCTTCGTATTAGTGTTACTACTGTTGTCCATGACGAAAGTTTGCCATGATCAACGCAATGATAAAGGAAGGAAGAGAGATTAACTGAAAATTGCACAATGAAGTTTTATCCAACAACTAACATTCATTACAAGCTGCAACCAAGTTTGATATTACAGAATATAAGGGTCTGTTTGATATGGAAAATTTTTCATGAAAGTAAGAACTTGTTTTCCATTTTTCAAGTTTTGGCTTGTTTGATTGCAAAATTTTCCCTAGAATTGTTTTTCTTGCTTTCCACTCACACGTGCACAATTTCCTTGTTTTTGTGGAATTCATTTTCCCATGGTTTGTGAGGGAAATGGTTTTCCAACTTTTTTTTCTTGCAATTGGAAAAATTTCTAGACACAATGATAAAAAAATTGATCACTTTTATTGACAATTTTCATTCAAAACAAAGTCAAATGAATGGTATTTGGTATGCTAATTTTTTAAAAAACAAAATTTGACAAGTGAAACAAATTCTAGACTTTATGGTAAAAGAAATTATTACTTTAATGGACAATTTTCATGAAAAACGAAGCTAAACGAATACCAAACTTTCAACATTNTTACTTTAATGGACAATTTTCATGAAAAACGAAGCTAAACGAATACCAAACTTTCAACATTTTCCAAGTGAAAAATTATACCAATCAAACACAATTAATTACAATTCCCAATAAAACAATTTCTAGGCAATTCAATTCTCTATAATTCATTTTCTTTCCACCTATTTTTCACTTTTACAATCAAACGAACACTAAAGTTTCATCAATTAGTAGTTTATCAAAAGGATGGATAATAGTGCGGATTCAAAGACATCGCTTTTTTTTTTCTAAGCATCTCTTCTCGACGAAAAAGATAAAATATGTCCCATTTGACATGCATTCTTTTTTATAACAAATATCAAATTGATCATCATCAAGAAAAATCCTCTCTTTTAAAAATTTAGGGTCTGTTTGGCATAACTTTTGAAAAGTCAAAAAGAGTTTTTGAAGTACAAAAATAGCTTTTAGATTCGTTTGTCTAATTTTATAAAAGTGTTTTTGTCAGTTAGAATAGTTTTTAAAGAAAATTGGTTTAATGTGACTTTTTCTAAAAATACTTTTAGAATATGAAAAGCTTTTAAAATTTAGGGCAGCTTCCTCAAAAAGTCCTTCTACAAAGAGATGAGATATGCTCATGGGCGGACCTAGGGCAGGTCCTGGGGTGCACATGCCCCCAACTTTTGAGATTCTTTTTTTTTTTTTTTTTTTATTTTCTTTTTTTTTCTTTTTAAATTTGAATTTT